GATAAAAAGGGAGATACGAGCTGAAAATGTGGTTCCTCATTTCAAACAACTTGGATAACTAATGCAAGAATTTACTTTTACTGTGTAGTGAAGGCACTTTACAGCCTAAACCCTTGGGTAGCTGAGGAAAATCTTTTGTTGCCATGGGATCACAGTGAAATATAAAGAGGGGAAATGTGGCATTTTGTAGAAGTATAGAATTTTAGAGCTGAAAGGGAAACACGACATGTATCTGTGAATTCCTAAGGACTTATATTTAGAGCTTTATGTTTCTGATTTCTGTGCAGAGAAACGTGATTCCTCTTATTGCTCCTTTCACTTTTTCATCTTTCTCTTTACCAGTTCCTTTCTCTTTCCTTTTTTCTACTGTTTTTCTCATACCCAACTCCAGTTCCTTCTTCCTTCCCTGGCTTCCTCATCCCTCACCAGCCAGCCTCCTGTCATTTCTCTGTGAAGCTCTTAACTGAATGGCACATGGGGTACTGTGGTGAATGGAGCCCCTAGGTGAACAAGTCAGGAGGACCTAGATCTTGTCTCTTCCCCTTTAAAGTGTGAGAAAGCAGTTTGGGGGACTGACTAGAAGGAATGGTTTTGTAAAATGGCACACAGATGTCAGCCATTATTGTTCAATAAAGTCTTTGGTGTACCATTCCTAAGTAATTTTTCATTAGCTGTGGCCATTGTTTTGGATTGTTTAAAAATGCATAATGTCACTGGACATGGAGGCTTACACCTGTAATATCAGCACTTTGAGGGGCCAAGATGGGAGGATCATATGAACCCAGGAGTTCCAGACCAGCCCTGGGCAATATAGCCAGACCCCATCTCTCTCCACACACACACACACACATATCAGCTGGGCATGGTAGCATGCACCAGTAGTCCCAGCTACTTGGAGGGTTGACGCAGGAGTATCCTTTGAGCCCAGGATTTCGAGGCTGCAGTGAGCACTTTAGCCTGGGCGACAGAGGGAGACCCTGTCTCAAAAAAGATAAAAAAAATCAACACGTTTCATTCTCAAATGGATGCTTCAAAAAAAAATCATGAAAGAAAATAGAATTTGCTTCATACTTACTTATGATCCTTGGTTCCCATCTCTTTCTTTTCATCCAACTCCCCTCAACTTTCATGGATCATATCTCTTGTTCATGGAGAAAATGTCCACATTCCTTTACAAACGTGATTGACACCATAAAAAATGTTTGGTGCAAGTTCTGTATCTTTCTTAAATAGCCCCGCTTGAGCACTTGAGCAAGAAGGCTGGTGACTAAAATTAAACAAAACATAACAAAACTAAAAACAGGCTGGGTGCAGTGGCTTACGCCTCTAATCTCAGCACTTTCGGAGGCTGAGGCGTGCAGATCCTTTGAGGCCAGGAGTTTGACACCAGCCTAGCCAACATGGCAAAACTCTGTCTCTACTAAAAATAGAAAAAATTAGCCGGTTGTGGTGGCACCTGCCTATAGTCCTAGCTACTCTAGAGGCTGAGGCAGGAGAATCGCTTGAACCTGGGAAGTAGAGGTTGCAGTGAGCTCAGATCACGCCACTGCACTCCAGACTAGGTGACAGAGCAAGACTACTTCTCAAAAAAACAAAAACAAAAACGAAGTGTCAATGAAGATGTCAAGCAACTGGTACCCTCAGACATTGCTGGGGGAGTGCAAAATGGTACAGATACTTTGTAAACAATTTGATGATTCTTAGAAACGTTTATGTGCCATATGACCTAGTTATACCATTCCCAAGAGAAATGGAAGCCTATATTCACACAAAAACCTATACACAAGATTTATAGAGACTTGATTCATAATCAGCAATAACTTAAAGCAACTCAAATATCCTTCAACTGTTAAATGTGTAAACAAACTCATACAATAGAATACCACACCCATAGAATACAATACTATTTAGCAATAAAAAGGAGCAGGCTACGATACCTGCAGTGGCATAGATGAATGTGAAAACCGTTATGCTGAGTCAAAGAAGCCAGGTTCAAAAGGCTACTGTATGATTCTACTTATATGACATGCTGGAAAAGGCAAAACTCTAGGACAGTAGACAGACTAGTAGTTTCCAGGGGTAGGGGTACAGTGGTGAGGCTGAATACATTTTGGGGGCCATGATAGAACTGTTCTATATCACAATTATGGTGGTCATCGCAGAGCTGTATACATTTGTCAAAACTCAGACTTGTCCACTAAAATGGGGGTATTTTACTACATGTAAATTATAGCTCAATACATCTGACAAAATAAATATACAGTATTAATTTGCATGTTATTCATCTTAAAATAAATGGTATTGTTCTGCAACTTGCTTTTTTCACTTAACCTTAAGTTTTACAGATTCAACGTTGTTGATATCTGTAGATTTAATTATTTTAATTGATGTAGTTTTCAATTTTTGCTACCACTATAAACAACGTGGCAGTGAATCCTCTGACACACATCTTTAGTACATACACAGAGTTTCCTGAGGAAGGTTGTGTACATAAAGGCTGTGTGTTGGATTGTAGAGTATGCACGCCTTCCAATTTGCTAGATTTGGCTGCATACCTTTTCTAAGTGTTTCTGCCAGTTCATTCTCTGCAACACATGAGCTCCTATTTCTCCAATCAGAAAGAGTTTGGGATTTTTCAGATTTTCGTTTTACTTTCCATTTCCCTAAAGTTAAGGATCTTTTTTTTAAGTATGTTTTCTGGTTTTTCCAGTTTCCTCTTCTGTGGACTATTTGTATTTTTCCTTCTTTTTTCTGCTGACTTGTTTTGCTTATTGATGTATAAGAATTCTTTTTGTAAAATGTGAGTTTTTGTATTCTAGATGTCACTTTGCTGATTATATATATAATAGCCTTGCCACCGTAAATCAAAAATAAAATGTGAAGGTCCCTCTCAACCTTCTGGACCTCCTCCTATAGGCCAGGGTCCTCCAAATTAACCTAAAAAACTGACTTAGGCCATGACAGGAAGGGGCATCAGACATGCCTCATTATGCTGTCCTTTCTTTTGGAATCCAGAAAAAGCTGCCCAGCATTTAATATCAACATGGACTTTAAGTCTGATAAGAAACATTTTCATCTTACTCTTTCTGAAGCCTGCTAACTAGAGGCTTCATCTGCATGATAAAACTTTGGTCGCCGGGTGCGGTGGCTCAAACCTGTAATCCCAGCACTTTGGGAGGCCAAGGCGGGTGGATCACGAGGTCAAGAGATCGAGACCATCCTGGTCAACATGGTGAAACCCCGTCTCTACTAAAAATACAAAAAATTAGCTGGGCATGGTGGCACGTGCCTGTAATCCCAGCTACTCAGGAGGCTGAGGCAGGAGAATTGCCTGAACCCAGGAGGCGGAGGTTGCGGTGAGCCGAGATCGCGCCATTGCACTCCAGCCTGGGTAACAAGAGCGAAACTCCGTCTCAAAAAAAAAAAAAAAAAAAAACAAAACAACTTTGGTCTCCACAACCTCTTATGGTAACCCAGACATTCCTTTCAATTAATTGTGGATCAGAAAAAAAATTAAATCTACCTATAACCTGGAAGCCCACCTTCCTGCACACTCCCTCTGCTTTGAGTTGTCCCACCTTTCTGGATTAAGCCAATGATCATTTTAAATGTGTTTGATTGATGTCTCAGATCTCCCTAAAATGTATAAAATGAAGCTGTGCACCAACCACCTGGAGCACGTGTTCTTAGGATCTCCTGAGGGCTGTGTCATGGGCCATGGTCACTCATATTTGGCACAGAACAAATCTCTTCAATATTTTACAGAGTTCGATTTTTTTTTTTTTTTTTTTTTTTTGGTCAACACCACCACCACCACAATCACCTGATTCAAGGAACTTACTCACCTATTTCTCATTCAGCCAATGCTGGAGCAGGTTTAAACGTCCTTTAAAGGAAGTCTTATCCTGAGAAAACTTATTTTGATATGTTAATGAGTCTGATCAGAATGGACCAGATTTTGGGGATAGAGAAATGGTTGCAATTGTGCTCCCTGGAATAGCTTTGGATTTTGCCTAGATTGTCTGTCTCTCTGGGACGGAGCTGTTTGTGTTTATGTAGCATCTTACATAGGATTGACACAACTTCAATTTTCTATATCAAAAAATTGGGGGACGGCGTGGTTTTGGAGGTTATGGGGTGTTCAAACCTCCCAAGTGACATCTGCTGTGACTGCACGTCTTCCAACTCTTTCCGTTGGGATGCACCTCTGGTAGAGGAACTATAAGAAGGTAAAAGCTGGGTCCCATACTAACCTGCCTTCTTCTCAACAGCTGTAAAAAAAAGTCTTTTCAACCATTTTACACATTTGGAAATAGGTCTAAGTGAAGAAGGGGATTTTCAAACTGGTATGTTGGAAAAGCATCTGGGCTTTTGGGTTTGAAATCAGGTGCTGTCACTGGTTTTGTGCCCTGGGAATATTTATTTCAGTTTTCGTGACTCTGTTTTTCTATTGGCAAAGTAGGAAATTAGAAAAGGTCCTCAAGCAGTTTGTACAGCCGCTTCCCCTCCTCATCTCTTGTGGGCCTTTGGACGTGTATGTTGGGGGAGAAGTTCTGGATTGTTGCAATGATTTGGGAGTGCCATAGCACCTAGTAGCCAGAAGCCAGAGACACCTAGTCTCAACAATGCCTGAGGCGGTGCCGCAAATGAAGTCCTGCTCCAAATGCCGTTGAGCCCCAAGAAGAAGGAACTTTCCAACTTTAACGTTTCTGGACGTCACTAAGCCGAGCTAGGAGGCACCACACACAGGCCAGAGTCTCCCAAATCTTGTCTCACACTCTCCCCTACCTCATTGAATGGCCAGCTCATCCTTAAGGTTTCCACTTGAATTTCACTTCTCAGAGATATCTTCCGAGGTGTCTAACCCAACGTTACTATTATATTATTATTTGATTGTCCCTCTCACCTCCCAACTCCCTAAACTCCAACTATAACAGAGGACGTGGCTATTTGTTGACGAATAGGGCTTGGTGAGGTCACACTGGCGCAGAATATTTTCTGTATAAACGGATGCACTACTGACGACGGGGCAAACGCGCACAGGAGGGGAAAGGGCGCCAAACCGAGGCGCCGGCGTCATCCGACGTAACTTCCGCCCTTTAGCGATCCTCTGGACGCCCCCTTCTCCCGGTCCGTGTTTGTTTCCGGCATTTCAATAAAGCTCGATTCGGCTCGAAGAAGATCCCGTTCTTCCGGGAAAATGGCGACTCCCGCTCGTGCCCCGGAGTCACCGGCGGCCGCGGATCCGGCGGTAGCTGCGGGGCCTGTTGAGGAAGCCGAGTGCCCGCCGCCACGCCAGCCTCAGCCTGCGCAGAATGTCCTCCCTGCCCCGCGGCTTCGAGCCCCAAGCACCCGAGGACTTGGGGCAGCGGAGTTTGGTGGAGCTGCGGGAAATGTTGAAGCGCCAGGAGAGACTTTTGCGCAACGTGTAAGCTGGGGTCCCGCGGAGTCACTGCCAGGCTCCTTCAGCTCGCGCTCCCTGGGCGCTCCCCTTCCCTCCTCCACTCCATGCACTTCCCTGGAAGGTGACCTTGCCTCAGTCACATTCGCCTCAGCCCTCCGGGCAAGTGGACAGAGGGCTTGCTGCCGCAGAGCCGTCCCTCTTCCTGGGCAGGCACGTTTGCCTGCGAGGATGACTCGGACTGGACGGCTCCTTAGCGTTGCAGTGAGTTAATAGCTCCTCGCTGGTTTTATTTTCCCGGGCACTCTGTTGGTTCCATGAAGCCAGAGTCTGCATCCTAAACCATTTTGCCGCCCGCGCCCCTAACCCATAACGAATTGTCAGCTTCATCTCTGGATTCTATGCTTACAGGAACCGTAGGAAATGGGAAGAGTAGGATGTGACGAGGGGTTTATTAGGCCGAGAAAGTTCGACCCCCATTCAGTTGGCTAATTTAAAGGATTTTAGCAGGGGAGCCACGTGATAAAAGTGATTTTGTGTTTTAGGCAGTTTTGTTTAGCAGCCTGGTGCGAAGGTGGTTTGAAGGAATGAAAAGCAGAAGACAGAAGGATATTTGCAGAGAGGCTCCCCACGAGAGAGTTGTAAGAAAGTGAGCTAGGAAGGAATTGGGAAAACTTTAAGCATGGACTAATTTAAATGTGGTTGACAGAGATGGCTGAAGTTTCCGATATATATGGAACACCAGTAGCAAAAAAATAGGAAAATTCAGGGAGAGGAATAGATCCAAGGTTGATTTTACTTAGGGTGTGAAGAGTTGGGAGGAGAGCAGGCCAGACATTTGGTTAATTGAAAACCAAACAAAAGCTGGAGAAGTAGTCATGAGGCTCAAGAAAGAGAGAAGTCTGGAAAATGTAGAAAACAGAGGAATTTCAGCTGTAGAGTGTTGTCAATTGTGAGAATGAATGCATTGTCAAAAAGAACAGAGGACCTAAGATTTAATTTTTTCTCTCCATTTGTTGTATAAAGAAAAGGGAATCAGAAAAGGAACTCTGTTATCCAACAAAAGGGATAAATACTTGATTGGGTCAAGACAGGTGTTTTGACCTTGTGAGAATAGGTTTTTAATCTATAGCAATGAATTAACTTTCTAGTCTCAGGACTCCTTTATACTTTAAGAATTATTGACATCCCATGGAGTTATTTTATGTGTTATATCTAGCAAAATTTATTTACTTGTCAGAAATATAGCTGAAGTCTTTAAAACATAAGTATACGCAAGCGCACATTCTGTTCTAGAACAATGATGTCATCACATGTCATGTAGCCTGTGGAAAACTCCATTGTACCCATGTGAGAAAATGAGAGGGAAATAACATCTTGGTATTATGATGAAAGTAGTTTTGACCGAATAGACCCATCCCCATGCTCTACCCCATCCTCAAATTTTGGAGATTTAATGACTGCTGGCTGTTGGAATGCCTTATGTGATTATTATATGCTTAAAGTACTTTTGCTGAAATTCTAATTTGCTGAGACAAATGAGGCATATATTCCCTGTTCCTGCATTCCCTTGTTTTTTGGGGTCTTTGGATAATGACCATTTTATTTATTTTATTCCTGTTTTGGAGAAATTAGAAATCAGATATTTGACTTAAAAATTGCCTTTTCTTTCTTAGAAGTTAATGCTTAGCCTCTTTAATGTTGTAAGTCAAGTCTAAAAACATGGCTGTAATATATACGTATTCTTTTCCATTTGACAGAAAATTCATTTGCAAATTGCCCGACAAAGGTAAAAAGATTTTTGACTCTGTTGCCAAACTGAAAGCTGCCATTGCAGAACGTGAAGAAGTTAGAAGAAAAAGTGAACTGTTTCATCCTGTTAGTTTAGACTGTAAGCTAAGGCAAAAAGCAACTGCAGAACTTGATGTCGATACTGATAAGGCCCAGAATTCTGACCAGATACTTGATACTTCATCACTAGTTCCTGGCTGTTCCTCTGTAGATAACATTGAGTCATCCGAAACAACCTCACAAAACCAGGGACTTGGACATCCTACTCATGAAGGTGATGAAGAGAATCCAGAGGCTGAGTACACAGTGAGTAAGGGCCCAGCTTCCAGCAACAGAGACAGAGTGCCGCCTTCATCTGAAGCTAGTGAGCATCACCGGCAGCATCGTGTTTCAAGTCAAGCAGAAGATACTTCCAGGACCTTTGACAACCTGTTGATTGACAGGTTACAGAGGATTGCCATTGCAGACCAAGGTGAACAACAGTCAGGAGAAAACACAAGTGCTACGAACTTGACAGGCCTTTCTAATGGGACTCAGAAGAGGCCTCATTACATGGAAGTGCTAGAAATGCGAGCCAAAAACCCAGTGCCCCAGCTGCATAAATTTAAGACCAATGTGTAAGTACCATCGGAAACAGGCCTGTAGCAGGAACATAGTAATTGTTAAACTCAAAAAGTTACGAGAAGCTGGTTGTGATGGTGCTTGTCTATAGTCCCAGGCTACTCAGGAGGCTGAGGTGGGAAGATAGCTTTAGTACAGGGTTTGGAGACCAGGTTGGGCAACATAATAAGACCTTTTTTTTTTTTAAGAGAAAAGTCAGGAGAATGCTCTAAGTTCCATGGGCTTTGTGTGAGAAGTGCTTGTTAGGAAAGAACATATTGTGGAAACACAGACCAACCTGGGTGGAGTGGAAGATTAATGTTGAAAAATACTTAGTTTTGAAACCATATAATTGAAAAGGTCTTAAATAGCACATGGGGTGTATTAAATTTCAGTATGTGACCCAGTATTTCATAATAAACACAGAGCTGGAGAGAGAATTTATTATGACTTCTTTTTTTCAGAACCATTTTTAGTGTACAGCACTGATTAGTGTACTGTCAGAGTGTACTCACTTTGATTAGTCTGTGAACTAAGGGTAAAGCAGTTGCAGGAGCTGATGGGCTTTCCAGCAAAAGAGATTTGCATGTTCACTGTATGTAAGCAAGCAGCAGGTGTTGTGGGGACACGGTGAAGTCAAAATTCTTAAACTCCTTTGCCTTTTTAATGTTATATCTCAAGTTTAAAAACATGGCCATAATGTATACATGTATAATATAATAAACTCCCTGTTCTTCAGTGAGTTTAGACGCTAGATGATGACCCAAGGTTTACACACTTGGAAAAGAGTTAAGCTACATAATAATAGTTTCAGGGATAAGGAAGCTGAGAAGAGGTTTGAAAACTGAAAATAGATTCATGCAGGATGGGCAAAAACCCTGCTTATCAGTTCCTTGCCATAAATTTATTTCTGAAATTTCGGGAAAAATAAAATCTTTTTGAAAAGAATTGTTATTTACTTGCAGCAAATGTAACATTCAACTCAGGTAACTGGTACCTTCCTATCCTGTATTTACAAGTATGTAACATCAAATACACAGTTAAATCACTACTACCTTTCTCTGAAAAACAGAAAACCTCTAGTGAAAAGTACCTAAAACATGCTTCTTTTTTGTTACACTTTAACTCAACCCCAGCATTCATTTTAACCTGAAAACATGTTATTTCTGCTGTAGAGAAAATCAGGATTATAGTATATTAATGCGGTCTGGTAATCTGTTGTATACAGTGAGGTATACTTTTCACTTCCAGGATGACATTTTAGAAAAGTAGAACCATCATCTAGCCAATAAATACAACAAAGAATACATTAATCCTAGTTCTGTCTTATGGTCATTTATCTGGGAGTTGGAGAGAGGTAAGGGAATAATGATGAGGGCTACCAAGAGTTCCGGAAGTTTAAGAGAGAGGGAGCGTCCTGTATAGTTAGAGGAGAACAGGAAAGGCAGGGCTTTGAGGAGTCCATAAGCTATACACATGTAGGACTTGAGAGGGTTCCATGTAAGAAGTGGCTTGGAGGTTGGAAAATGGGGTCAGGGAGTGTCCGTTGGATCCTTTCTGCTCTTCCTTCTGCATACTCTTCTGGCTTCGTATATCACCTGGATGCTGGAGGCTGCCCTCTGTCTACCTCTACTCCAGATCTTCCAGAACTTTTAGGTTTACATGGCCAATTACCCATAACACTTGACCACTTGGGCGTTCCCTGGTACGTCAGCTTAATCATGTGCAAAGTGGAACCCCTGTTTCTTTCCAAGGTAATTTCCATATTCTCTAATAGTGTCCCCACCTCCTTCTTGGTTTTCTTCCTGCAAGGTATCTTTCATTTTTCTCATCTCCATATCTGCTAGCCATGAAGACCTACATAACGTATTTCCTTGATCTTCATCTGTGTAATTGTTCTTCATCTTCTGTCAGAGTGAAGACACTCACCTCTCTTGGGCTACAACTGTGGCTTCTTCCTACCTCTAGTTTTAACTACCAGTCAATCTCCACTGCTGCCTTGTAAGATGGAAATCTGAACTTGTTACATCGAACTTTTCATTACAGTCTGGGCTCATCCCACTTCCCAGCCCTCTTTCTGGCCGTCTTTTCTGTATAGCAGAAAAGCTGGGTGTCTCTACCTCCTGTACTTCCTCTTACTCCCCTTGTTGGGATGCACTTCCGTCCTTGTTTACATGGTAAGCAGTTATTATTCCAAGACTGGTTCAAATGTCACTTCTCTGAAGCTTTTCTGACAACCTCCCCGTCTCCCACTGGAACTGGCCATTTCCTTAGGTTCTAGTGTGTCTTGTTGAGATATCTGTCATAGTACCTTTGGTATTATATGGCACTGAAACTTTACATGTTTATTTCTCTCTACTAGGCAATAAGCCCTTTTGCAAATGTTCTTTGCATGAATAAATGAAAAAAGAAAAGCTCCAGTTAAAGCATGAGGTTTGATGAGGAAGGAAAAGGCAAAGAGCGTGTACTCACACAAACACACTCCTGTTTGTTAAAGCAATGAATATTGGTAAACTGCTTACTATTACCTTTGGAGGAGAATTGATTGTTAAGGTTAAAGGCCGTTTGTGTGAATGGTTTAAATGTGTCTATAAATGAAGAAAATAGTCTATATAACACAAGTTTTCCTTTCATCAGATTACCTTCTCGACAAATTGATTCACCTAGTGATTGTCAGAAGAGAGCGTCTCCTATTTCCTCAGAAGAGCGGCGGCGCAGGGATAAGCAGCATCTTGATGACATCACAGCAGCTCGGCTTCTACCACTTCACCATATGCCCACACAGCTGCTCTCCATAGAGGAATCTTTGGCACTTCAGAAACAGCAGAAACAGAATTATGAGGTATTTAGAGTATTATTTTTCTCTCGTCTGTTTGTTGGGTGCTGCTTTTATAAGTCAAAATTTACTCCAGGTTCAAGGAGGATGGAATGGAATAGAGGGGATTAGGTGTTTCCATGAGCTGAGACCTATGCCACTGGTTTTCAGAGAGTTACAAAGTTGGTAGAACTACAGGAAACAGCTAGAGATGAACAGCAATCTGCAACATTAAATTGGTGATTTGCCAGAAAATGTGGGGAGACTGCTATAGAATTCCGTGTCTTAAAGCTCATGTGCCTGCCTGTTCCTGTTAGGATAGTAGTGGCATCGCATCTCTCCGTCTCTCCCTTTCACCTTGTAAAACCCGTGTGACAGCTTCTCAGTGGTGGACTCGAACCCAGACCCCTTCTAGAATGAGGAAAACCTAGTTCCCAGCCTTCTAACTCCTGCAGTACAGGGGAGGGCTTAGAAGGAGTGGGAGGATAATGTTGTGTAGCCAGCAGACAGTGAGACACTGCTTCAGAGCATCATCTGCAGGCCCATGTAAAGAGAGAAGAATCTCCTGCGTTTGGCAGCGTAGTCAATTTTGCATAGCACTTTCTTTCCATGTGTTCTGCCTAGAACTTTAAACGTGTGTTGAGAGTTTGCTTACAGAATAATGGGACGGGAGAAAATAAGTGTGAAGGACCATAGGGGAATAGGAAAGTTTAGAAGTATTTAGTAATAATTTTAGCCTCCAGGAGAACAGTGTTCTGTCTCATTTCCTAGATATTGCTTATTTGATTTTAGTCAGGTACTAGTGCACCAATTAGTATAACACCAGGCTGCACATAGCAAGACCCCACCTTCGCAAGAAAATTAGCCAGGCATTGTGGCACATGACTGTGGTCCCAGCTACGTGTGGGGCTGAGGTAGGAGGATTGCTTGAGCCCAGAAGGTTGAGGCTTAAGTGAGCTGCAGTTGCACCACTGCACTCTGTACAGCCTGGGTGACAGAGAGAGACCCTATCTCCAAAAAAAGAACAACAAAACAGGCTGATAATCTGCGTTGGCTTTTCATAAAAGGCTTGGCATGGATTGGCATTTTCAAGGTGCTCTTTAAAAAAAAAATCCGTTTTTCTTTCTCTCAGTGCATTAAAATGACTAGTCATGACCGTAGCATTGAAGAAGTGTTCCTTAAATTGTCTCTGGGCTCTTAAATGCCGGTCTTAAGATATTTTTAGGTTCAATTAAATCCTTCAGCTTGAAATTGGTTTTCTTGGCAGCGACGTTGTGGTAGTAATGGCTCCTACTTTTCCTTACCCATATTCATGGCTTGAAGTGAAGGACGTCAAGAACCTCAAGAAAGCAGGAGAAAAGGGAAGAACTGAATTAGGAATGACTTTGCCAGCTACCATCAGTTGGTGGTAAAGTCCTTGGAGGCATATAAGCACATTGCCAGTGTCTGAAATTTACTTGGACTTTTTATTGAATACTAGTTGCTGTAGGACTTTATTTGGAGAGAAATAGCTTCTTGGTATTAATTTCTTGATTTTTATTTTGCCATTGAAATTCGATTCTCAAGTCTAGAAGTTGTGATTGTAATTAGGGAAGAAGGTTCTGTCAGTTGTAGAAATCTAGACAGTGATTTTTGACATTTGATAGCTCATATTTGTTAGGTGAGTGTGTATATATGTGCATGTGCCCACATATTTAATGCATCTCTGTATTTATAACTATTGTAGTGCTAAGGTGATTACTCAGTTTTTTGTACAGAAGAGTGTATTTCAGTGCAATGTTGTTTATTAATGGAGGTCAGTAACTTCAACTGTAGCAGGCTGGTGGCTGTTAGAAGCATTGCTCTGTTGTGTCTGTGATAGGGCACAGCCATCAGGCTCGTATTGCCCGAGAGAGTACTTAGTGAGTTGTCAATGCCCCTCTTGTTTCTGATTCTAGATAACTTCCCATTGAAAAATTGTAAGGAAGAGATGTGAATATGTAACTTTTTGCTTTGCTCTTTGTTTTAAAGGAGATGCAAGCAAAGCTCGCTGCGCAAAAATTAGCTGAAAGACTGAATATTAAAATGCGGAGTTATAATCCAGAAGGGGAGTCTTCAGGGAGATACCGAGAAGTAAGGGATGAAGATGACGATTGGTCCTCTGACGAATTCTGAAGATAATCTCCTAAATCACTGACGTTGAGATGTCATCATTTTACATCAGACTTTCTAACTAGTATCAAGATCAGTGTGAGATATTGTAGAGGGAAGTAATTTTATAAAGTTACACAAAGGTAGTTATAAAAAAATCCCATTTTATCTTTCAGAAGATGGCTTTCGTGTGCTTGAAAAGTTTAATATTTGAATATTGTGTTTAACCACATTGTATTACAGTTTTGCAGTATGTTGTGTATTGGTCTGATGTTTTAGTATACAGTAAAACATAGTTTATTTCTTTAAGCCAAATGAAAAGAGGTAACTTTGCTTTTTTTCTTATTCCTACCTATCAAATAGCATTTATTACACATCTTTCAGTGAAATACTTATTTGTCCCAGGCATCTAAAATTCGTGAGGAAGACATAGTTCCCTTCTTTTTTGGGTAACGAAGGGCGCAGTCTAAAGAGCTGTATGCACGTTGGCATGGGGTTATTTAGACACTGGATGTGAAATACCTAGGAAGACATGCATAGAAAATGCTTAAATGCGTTTCTCCTTTTTTCTGTCTTTCCTTAGGAAGAACGTTAACTCTTCTGATTAGCTAGGAATTCCCTCTTGAGTGGATGCTGGAGGGTGGAGGTCTTTTTAAATAATCTTATGTTACTCCAGGCAAATCTGGTATAGGAAAAGTCCAAGCTAACTGAGCTAGGTGAAGGCTTGTGCATCACCCGACTTGAGTTCCTTGCTGTCACAGATGATAGGTTCATGTACAGAACATGAGTGTTTGTTAAGGAAACCAGTTTTGGTTTTTTTGGGTTTTTTTTTGTTGTTGTTGTTGCTGTTACAATTGAATTGTCAGTACTTAGCTTTTCTTGCCAAAAGAGGCATATATAGACTGCAGAAACCTCAGTCTCATATATAAACGTTCATGTCATTTTAGAGGATTATATGGTTGTCTCCAGAGAAATTAACTTATATTATCAAAAATTCTTTGTCTCATATATTGGAGTCTTTAAAAGTGTTGAAGAATAAAAAACTAATTAGAACAACTTCAAATGCTAATGGTGATGTTTTACTGGGACTTAATTAAATATAACTTTTTGCTTTTGAAAAAGACTTCACATTTGCTACCAAGAGTAGTTACTGTTTCCATCCTCATCCCCCACAAGCAAATGTGAAAAGTGTACTGACCTAAGATTCTCATTATTTTTAGTTCTTAAAACTAAGAGTAAATGATTTCACAGCGTAAAATTTGATGTTCTTTCTCTAGAATGAAATAACACATGTTATTTCTGGAAAGCTGAATAATATGAAAGAGTTCATGTGTCTGTACACACAGTTCCCTGTAATCCTACCACCTAGAGAGAGAACCTCTGTTAACATTTTGATTTTGTGTTTTTACTTATTTTTCTATGCATAGTTATACATTTATATTTTCAAAAATGCAGTCGTAATGTACATTGCTTCATAGTCTGCTTTATATATTACCAACATTTTCACATATTAAATATTTTACTTTTTAGATAGCTGTAGGATATTTCATTTCCTGGGTGTACCATAACTTTAAGATCGATTTCCTCTTCAGCAATTTGATTATTTATTATAATCTGTAAATAGTGATGTGATTAACATCTTAATCACATCTATACAAAATGACTTATTTCCAGAAGATATCTCTCTAGAAATGAAATTATCAGGTGAAAGTGTTTTTAGGAATCTTCATATATATCGCTCACCAGAGAACATGTTCATTTACATTCCCATTAGCAATATATCCAACACTCAGAATTGAAAATTACTGCTTACAATCTTTGCAAATTGAATAATTACAGAAAAGGACTACATTTAAAATTTGTATTTTTTTGATGACTTAGTGAAGATTGTGTTTTTTTTCATGTTCATTGGCCATTCTATATTCATTCTTTTGAGAATTGCTCATTCATATTTTGTCTGTAACTTGCTTGGAGAACTTGGTGGGGTTTTGTTTGTTTGTTTATAAGTTCTTAAGAATGTCTTTTGTCATATATTGTAACTTTTTTTAGTCTTCATAGTTTGCGATATTTCAGTGTAGAAGTTACTTTCTTTAGGAGCCTACCTTTGTGTACGTGCTTGAACTTATTTTTGTAATTCAAGAATGGATAAATAATTGTCCTTGTTTTCTTCTGGTACATTCTTACCTCACCTTACATCTGTCTTTAAAAGAAATTTAAATTTTGTTTATATACATTAACTCAATACAGGTTTGGGGTGAAAAGGAAATTTTTAATCCATCTCAAATGTATTTGGGCATCTTATATAAGGTAGGGATTTGATTTTATTTCAAAGCATTTACCAGTTGGTTCAGTATCTGAAACCACCGTTTTCCCTCTGATTCGTAATGCTATTTTTATAGAATATTAAATTCTTCTGTGTCTTAGGCTAATTTCTGGGCCTTCTGATTTTTTTTTCCACATTATCAATAATTATGGCTTAAATTGGTGTTAATATTTGGTAGTAGAAGTTCCCCCTTGTCCTTTTAAATTTTGTGAAATATAACCTACAAATAAGTACTTAAGGTACTTAAAACTGAGTTTAATGGGTAAAGCAACAGCTGTGTAATCACAAGCCAGATGCAGAGGAGGTCCTGCCAGCACTCCAGAATCTTCGTGTATCCCCTCTTGACTCTCACTTTCCCCTAGTGGTAGCTATCTTGACTTTTGGTAGTTCTCCTTCCGCCCTTTTAAGAGTTATTTTGCCCACTATGTATATAACAACATGGTTTAGGTTTTGCTCACTTTTGACTTATATAAAAATAGAATCATACTGTATGTTGTGTTTGGTGTTTTTCACTCAACATTGCATGTAAGATTCAATGTCACATGATGTGTTTCATTCATTTTCATTGCTGTATAATGTGCCATTTCATCAATACCACCGTTATTCCACTTTACTGTCATGGGTCCTTTGAGATTTTCAGTTTTTGGCTATTATAAGCAGTGTTGCAAAGAGCATCTTACATAAACATGTGTCTATAGGATGTGTGCCTAGGAGTGGGATTGCTCAGTTACAAGGTAGAGCATACCTTTAAAATTTTTTATTTCCACCTCTGCTTCCATGAGGTATGAGAGTGCTTGTTCATCAACACTTGGTGTTGCCTGATTTTAATTTTAGCCAATGTAATGTTTATATAGTAGATGTTCATTGTGGTTTTATTTTACTTTTCCTTGATTAGCAATGTCATATGAGCATCTTCCTATGTCTGTTGGGCACTGGATTTCTTCTTTTGAAAAGTGCCCATTCAAGTCTTTTTTTATTTTTATTTTTAATTTTTTTTAAAGAGGTACAGAGTCTTGCTCTGTTACCTGGATTGGGCTGGAGTGCAGTGGCATGATGACAGCTGACTGCAGCCTCTAACTCCTGGGCTCAAGGAATACTTCTGCCTCAGCCTCCCAGGTAGCTGACGTTACAGGCAAGAATCACTGTGCTGGACTCCATTTGAGTTTTTTCTTTTTGCATTATGTTGTGTAAGCTTTTTTTTTCTTTTCTCATTGGTTTGTAGGATATATTCTGGATGCTAATCTTCGGTATTCAATCAAATAATTTGGTATTTGGTTGGCTATATTTGTTGTAAATGCCCTCTCCCTTTGGAGGATTATTTTTCATTCTCTCTCTCTCTTTTTTTTTTTTTTTTTTTTTTTTCTTCAGTTTGGGGTCTCACTGTATTGCTCAGGCTGGTCTTAAACTCCTGAGCTCAACTGATCCACCTCAGCCTCCTAAAGTGCTGGGATTGCAGGCATGATCCACCACATCCAGCCCTCATTTTCTTCTTGATGATTGATAAATTCTTAATTTTAACGACAAATCTATCTTTCATGTTTAGTGCCTTTTGTGTCTTGTTTTAAGGACTTATTCTGAAGTCATGAAGATATTCTTTTATCTTTAAAAATCTTTATAGTTAAAAAAATGGTTTGTAATGTTGCCTTTAACTTTAGGTCTTTGATTCCACCTGGAAGATATATATGACTGTGTGAGGGAGGGGTCCTTCTGGCCAGCCCTGGTGCTAGCATTACAGAGTGCAAACACGTTCCTTCCCAGCTGTTCCTCCGTGCACTCCTGCCATAGATCAGGCATCTTTATACGTCTGTGTTACCTTCTGAATTCTCTCTTCAGTTCCATTAACCCATTTGTTGTAATATTAAATTGCCTTATTTATGATAGCTTAATGATAAGGCTGGAGCAAGGCCTGCTATCTTACTCTTCAAAGTGCCTTGGGTATTTTTGGCCTTTGGCATTTTCATAAAATTTTAGAATCAGCTTGTCACGTTCCATACACACAAAATCCTTGGTAGTGGAAATTCTTTGTCATTCATTTTCAAAAATATGTTCGATGCATTCTGTCATTAATTAACTTTTTATTTCTAACTATGTGTTGAAATTTAGGAGATAGGGGATTTGGAACTTTGCCCTCGACTAAAGTACACTTACTCTTTCTATGATGATGACTATTTTTAGTTTCTTTGAGTTAAATAGAAAATTCAGAATGCTGTCTTAGTGTGAATACCTGAAGTATTGTGTAGTTTTGACTGAGGGAAAAAGAGAAAGGATTTTTTAAAAAAAATCAAATTTAGGTTTAAACTGGGAAAATGGAATGAATGCAGTAGTTGTGAACTATTGCCTTCAATTTTCAAGTGACTATGTCTAGAGAAGGAAGGTACGCTAAAGCTTGGGGCTTACCCTAAATCGTGGAAGACGTTATGAGAATTAATCTCGTTACATAATAGTCATCTATAGGAGTGATAATTCTTCATTTTCACAGGACCTGTCTCTAATCCACGTCGCATTCTCTGGGAAGCCAGGCTGTGAGCTAATGTGGAAGGTAGTTTGTGGGATTATCTCCATTTCCTATAACTGAGAGGTTGAGGTAATTTGCTCAAGGTCACTCAGAGGCAGCCAAGAAAAGAACCCAGCACTCAAGAATTCAGGCCCCTGACTGCATGGCCTTGCAGGTGAATACCACAAATCAAGGCGTCATTTAGGCTTTAACATGTGCTATTGCCAGACAAGAACTCAACTTACGCTGGGGGTGTTTGTCAGGTCTCCATGACATTCTTACAAGAGAGGTTTTTTCTTCTGATGAGTTTTTTTATTTGCAATGTTTTGTTTTTAATCATCTTATGACTGTGAGATAATTTCAGCCATTGCTGGAATCTTTGCTCTTGCCTTCTTACTTGATGGTTGGCTGGATAAAACTTTTCAGGAGAAGAGATGTAAGGAAAAGTGTCATAGGCTTTACTCAGGACCAGGTAAATCTGGCAGTTTGGACTTTGCAGGCTTAATGACATAGTTTGTAACACCAAAAGTAAAGCTGTTAGGACAAAAATAATTCTGTCTTCGCACGAAAAAAGTTGAGAATGCCTGTACCAAATAAATGAAAGGGTTATATATGCAGCTTTTATGGGGAACATATAGTCATTTAAAAAATACGGCAAATCACATTATTGGCTAGCTGCATGCTAAAGGGGGTTGGGGTGGAGGAGTTTCTTTTTTTTTTTTTTGAGACAGAGTTTCACTCATGTTACCCAGGCTGGAGTGCAATGGCGCGATCTCGGCTCACCGCAACCTCCGCCTCCTGGGTTCAGGCAATTCTCCTGCCTCAGCCTCCTGAGTAGCTGGGATTACAGGCACGCACCACCATGCCCAGCTGATTTTTTGTATTTTTAGTAGAGATGGGGTTTCACCATGTTGACCAGGATGGTCTCGATCTCTTGACCTCGTGATCCACCCGCCTCGGCCTCCCAAAGTGCTGGGATTACAGGCTTGAGCCACCGCGCCCGGCCTGGAGGAGTTTCTTAAAGCTATTATTTTAATTTCTGGCTAAAGTGAGGAAGCTTTGATACTGGGCCGATGAAATAAACCTAGTGTTGGATAATACTGAACCAGAGCCAAACCACAAATCAGATGCGATTCTGAAGGCACAGCATAAAAGCCTGGACAATTAAATATGATCTATTACTTCCCAGATGATTTTAGAAAACTTGGAATTTAAAAAAGGCAAAAAAAAAAAAATTTAAAAAGAGGGTAAGCCACTGGAATAGCATTAGATTATTAGATTTAGGATTTAAATACCACCATTTCCTTTGAATCCAGTGGGAAGTTATGTACTCTCATGACTATTAAGTCTGTAAGATGAGGTCAGCGACCCCTTATCTAATGTATGGGGTATGTTTTAAGTGAACAAAATTTCAAAGTGTGGCCTTTATAGAGCACTTTGAGGTCTAAAAGAGATTCTATATGAAAACCTTATTGTAACGATGGTAACAATTATGACTGAAGTAGTTTAGGAGGTACCTTTGGCCATATAAAGTAAAATGTTTGAAAATCACCACCATATGAAACTTTTAATTTAGTGTTAAAATTAACTGAGAACAATAGGGACTCCCTAAAAGAGCTATTTTGACAAGGGGAAATTAGGACATTGAGCTAAGGAGAGATCCAACTTCATATGGAAAAATTTCACATTATTAAGGCAAAAGAATGAGAGTTGTAAATCAAGTCCTTATTTAGCGCATACAGAAATACTCCTCAAAAGAGGGAGACTCAACTCAGTGCTTATAAATTTTGTCTGAAAATATTGCTGGTAAATATGTCAGTTCTCTTAATCAGTACCACATATATTTGTATTGAATTAAATAGCTTTTCTAGTGATTGTATTGTAAAAATGAAAGCCTATCTTCTGTCAATCATTCAGATTTTTAATATAAACATTTTTTTTCTTTCCTTTAGTGACTTTTAGTAGGGCAAAAATGAAGTACCATTAGAAACACCATAACTGGCAGTAGAAAACAAATCTTATATTGAATTGACATCCGTTTTTAGAGAAGAAAGGAAGCTTGTTATTTGTTCTACCCCCTATAAATTGGGAAACTGAGGCCCAGAGAAGCATGGAGACTTGTCTATGGTTTGAGCAGCTGGCTCTGACACAGCTCATTTTTTTCTTTCCTGGGCCAATGCTCTTTGATTAATATGGAGTTGTCTCATAATTAACGTATTTTTTAAAAATTACTGGAAAAGCACAGTGCCAGAACTCTAGTTTCTAATTTTAAAACTCTAGATTTTTTTTCAAAGATAGTTGTAACTATTGCAACTATGTCCGGTACTGTAGTTTTCTTGAACATGGGTAATGTGTGCTGCCCATTATTTATAGCATGACCCCATCTTTCCTTTTCACTGCCCAGCTTGGTCTGTTTTGAATGTGCCCATTTTCTTAACACCTCTTCTTTTCTGCCTTCAACAGTTCCACTTCCATCAGCCTACAGAAACTTTTCACCCGCTCTCCTCAGACCTCTTAGTCTTTTATCATTAGCCAAGGGTAGCAAGGGTCTTGGGGTCTGAACAGTATTGCTGGCTAGCTAGCATCAATCAACTCTTATTAATATCTTGGTGCCTGTCAGTTTATTAGATGGTATTTTTTCCTGAAGGAAGATAGGGCTTAAAGGAATGATAAATCGAACGGGCAAGTTTTTGTGGGGGGTGGAGGGTGGTAGGAGAGAAGAGAGAAAATGGAAAATCAAAGAGGAGAAGGACAAGGATAGGAAGCAGCTTGGATGTACCCTGAACAGCCAAGGGGTAGCAAGAAAGCATAATTTGGAAGTGTTGTCTATCACACTGTCAACTCCTCCCTTCCTGTTTTCCCTTGAATCCACTTAAATTTAAGCATTTGCTCCACACATTCTCCTGAAAAAACTTCTGTTAAGGTCACCAGTGACCTTCATGCTGCTAAGTTCAGTAATCAATTTCCAGTCCTTTTTCTTGACCTCTTGGCAATTTT